AGAGGTACACTTACTGCACAGCGGTACGTCGACGTCATTCTAAGACCTGTTTTGCTACCGTTCCTTTCGCAGCTCCCTGGGCTGGTTTTTCAGCAGGACAATGCCAGACCACAATGCCAGGTTATGTTGACCACAAAAACCTATTCTATGCTAATTTTGTTCATGAAAAGTTTTTCTGAGAATTAATTTACTTAAGCATAATTTTATTCAAATACTATCCTTATTTGTAGTAGGGATATACCAGCTTTTACTATTACTTGACATTGGCTATATACGTTGCTGTTTTTCTTCTTTTTTTTAGAAAGTTACATTAACCACCTATCTGAAGAAATCACGGTAAGCTCTAAAAAACACCGAGAAATTTTTTTTAAATAAATTTAATAAAAAATGAGTGCGTCAGAAATTCGTATCATTTAGAAGGATGAGTTATTTTTTCGTAAACTACGGTATCGCAAACGGAGCGAAAACATTAATAGAGTATGACCCTAGTGTTTGTTTTGACAAGGAAGAATCTCCAAAACATAACCCTGAGCAAAATATGATTTTAAAAAAAAGCTGCTGGTGTGTATGTAGTGGTGTAGTGCATTTGCGATAAACTATAATAATATTAAACCTGGTTTATCGAATACTCTGGAAATAAACTACAGCAAACTAGACAAAATGATATAGAATAGATAAAGATAAATAGCCTATATTTGTCCGCAGATTGACATTTATCTTATTGCATCACAACGTTAGACCGCACACTTCACACGTAACTAAAGCAAAACAATAAGAATTTGAACTTCATCATCCTTTGTACACACCAGACCTAGATCCCACTGACTACCACTTTTTCCTCAATTTAGTAAGCATTTTAGCAAGAAAATAATTCTATTAAAAAAAATACCTACTACGGAACTAGCTTTTAGCAAATTTGTAAATGTACTTAGGTACAGTTATATTTTCAACAAATTTCTTCTCATTCTGATAAGTAAATAAAATTTTGAACTTCTGAAGTTTGAGATATAAGTATTTTACCCATCTAATTAAACATTGTTTGAGAAATGCTGAAGCAACATTGTCTTACATCCCAGTAAACATTGCTGTACATTACGGTAAATATTAAATTACGCAACGATCAACGAAGCAACATCAGAGTCTAAACTAAAAATGCTAATTCAGCTTATTAAAACATTTTTATCCACAATAAAACACGTTACATCATTACGGATTAATCAGTTGTCAGTACTGAAGTACAAACGTCAACAAAATGTTAAAAAATCAAATACTTCAATAAAAAATCTTTTAATCTATAGACTTTTTTTTTTGTCTTCCCCTTTTCATTCAAGTTATGTCACATGCATGATATTTTTTAGAAAAATTAGCCATATAATTCTACAAAGGATATCAATACTGAAGGAGCTCTAGTTATATTCCTCTGTATTTGCCATTTATTATTTCAAGTATTGTTGAGATATGCTTCTCAATCAGTTTCAAACCCAACTTAAAAATATCAGTATAAAGCTATAATTTTTTAAAATTTAAAACTCAATCAGGAAAAATTATTTTAATACCTATTGATTTTATTATCCAATTGCGGTTTTGCATTAATGGTTTTTATGCACAGGAAAAGGACAAAAACCGTCCTGAATGCCTTGTTTCAAAATGATTTTTAAAGTAGGAAGGCTGAGTAAATGAATAAATTTTTCATTTATTAAAAAAAATTCCCCATTATTTGTTTACATAGAAAAAAGGAAAACAGTATAACTATTTGTGCAACTTAGAACATAACTTTTCATTATTTTGCACAGTTAGCTTTTGTTTAGCTTTATTTAGGAATAGCTAATAAAGGAATCCTTAGTTTTTTTTTCTGAAATCATATTTGCTATTCGAGTGAACAATAATCTAAACTTGTGCCGTAACTGTTTAAGAACATTGAAAAATCAATTAAAACAGCATCATATCGAAAAATGTTTTCTAAAAAGAATATTCTATCAGCTTTTACTTTTCTAAATATTTATGAATGATTGGAAAAGAGAAAGTAGCGAGGGGGGGATATCTGTTGTCATGTTGAACATGATAAACTTGAAAATCACTTAAGTTATTTAACTTACTTTCCAATAAAAAAAGACAATCAATTTTGAAAATCTCCAGGGAATAAAATCAAAATGACATCCGTAAAATTTATCAAGAGGAAGGCTCATTTTTTTGCAATTTAAGTAATGCTAAAAAAAATTTTACACACTAACAATAACAAAAAGAAAACATTGTTCCTTTTCATAACCAACAAATATCCCCTCAGAAAAGGTAATACACTTACTTCAAATGTGTCCAATTAATAGATCAAAAAAATAGGTCAAAAGTCATCAGGATCAGTTCTTTGCCTGTAAAAAACAAAAATTTTATGAGCTAGGAATTGTGCTACTGCCAGCATGATGACAAAAAGTATTGAACCAGAATGAACAATATATAATTCAATAATATATTTATTCGCTGTAAGAAACTTATTTCATTTATTCACTGTTACTTTCTGAGTTTCATTTATTCACTGCTCATTGTTACTCTCCGAACAACCCAATATATGTAACACAAATAGAAATTTAAAATGACAGGCATAGCTTATTAGAATATAGTTAAAACAAATTCACCATTGAAAATTCTGTGAATGGGCTTCATTAGTTTTTGTTAATCTTAATGAAACATCAGCAATTTATATATTAATGCCTTATATTGGAAGATGACTAATTTTATTTATGCATATGTAATCACATGCTTTAATATAATAAACTTAAATTTTCAAAAATGATATAATTCTTTCTTTTCTTTACAGAGAACTTCTATATTGCCCTGATATTCCGATATTCTAAACATTACTTTAAATCTCATAATAAAAATTTTTGTAACTATTCACGTCGTTCTCCCTGTACATTTTTTACACACCTGCGTATGAAGCTCTAGGTTTAATAGTTTTTGAGAAGCAAAGTATAATGCAATTAAAATCACTCAAAAAATGTGAGTCGATTTGTGAGCCTTTTGTCACTGACTGTGTTAAAAGTTTAATTTAAAAAATCAGATGACTCTTCCTGAGATACTGGAATAAAACAAGTTTTTTAATGGAATCTCTGTCTGTTAATAAGAAGCAAAATGGCAGCGTAACATTCACTGTTAGATATTACTAGGAAAAAAATGGTTAAATAACAATTTATTGAATGGTTATTTTACCATATTTAGTCAAAACAGTCGAATAACCATAAATAAAATGGTAATCAAACTGTTAAGTTTAAAAAAAACTGTTTAATAACTGCTTTCACCAAGTACGGTTAAACAACCAGAATTTTATCTCACCAATTAGAACCACCTAATGAAGCTACTTAATTCTTTGCAATGGCGTACATATCATAACAGAGCCGGCTTATCTGTTTATGTCATGACCGGCAGAACTGAAGTTCAAGTCCTAGTGGTGACACCACAATATTTCCTGCATTCCCTTCAACACATGAAGAATTTCCGATGTCCGATCTCTCTAATGTTCATTACCTTACGAAAAGCCGAGCTCCTATGTTTAGCTAAATAATTAAGGTTTTTTAAGTTTTTGAAAATTGCAAGCTTTAAATGGTTAAAAAAAACGTACAGTTTTGCATTCATGGCTTTATAACCGCACTTTTAGTAAACGGTTTCAAAACCATAAAGGAAAAAAATGTTCTTTACCGTAAACTTTATGGTTAATCGATGGACAGACAGCTGCCAGTTATTTTACCATAATTTCAGAATGAAAATTTAAACAGCGTTCATGGTGTTTGGGAGGAAAACGAATAAGGAGCGGAGATTAATATTTAGTGATAAACAACTTAATTTTTAAAGTGTTCTAGAATCAGAGTACATTAAAAAACGATGTTACTTCAAAAATCTGAATGTTTTGATCATTCGGTGTACGTGCATCTGGTACCAACTGCTTCAATAATTTAGACTCCACTGTAAAACAACCTAAAATAAATTAATAAAGATGAAGAGTTTTTTTTTTCAGTTTAGTTCATGAGCCTATTATCTATAATTTTAGTGTGATAAGTTTGAGGAAAAATATCCGATCCAACCTAAAATANTTTGAAAAATGCTAGTTGTAAATGGTCAAGGAAACGTATAGTTTTGTCATTCATGGTTTTATAACCAAACTTTTTGTAAACGGTTTCAAAACCATGAAGAAAAAATTTTCTTTACCGTAAACTTTATGGTTAATCGGATGGACAGACAGCTACCAGTTATTTTACCATAATTTCAGAATGAAAATTTAAACAGCGTTCATGGTGTTTGGGAGGAAAACGAATAAGGAGCGGAGATTAATATTTAGTGATACTTAACTTAATTTTTAAAGTGTTCTAGACTTACTTTTTAAAGTGTTCTACTTAATTTTTAAAGTGTTCTAGAATCAGAGTGCATTAAAAAACGATGTTACTTCAATAATCTGAATGTTTTGATCATTCGGTGTATGTGCATCCGGTACCAACTGCTTCAATTATTTAGATTCCACTGTAAAACAACCTAAAATAAATTAATAAAGATGAAGAGTTTTTTTTTTCAGTTTAGTTCATGAGCCTATTATCTATAATTTTAGCGTGATAAGTTTGGGGAAAAATATCCGATCTAAGACTAACAAAAGGAAGAAAGAGAGATAAATAAGGAAAATTCTATTTAAAAATATATCACGTTATCGAAATAAATTGTTTACTAAACATCGAAAACAAATTAATAGTGCTGCATGAATCAATTCTTTACATTGTATTACATTGCAACAATTAAAAAAAGCTGTGCAAATGAAAAAAAGGACACAAGTCTTTTTTTCCATGATAGAAAAATGGGGACCATTTATTTACGCTATTTCAGTTAACCTTATTATGTGTTAAGATAATTGAACAAAAGAAATATTACCTTCATCTTAATTTCAAGCAGTATGATTGCAACGCACGAAATACATAATTGCGTTTACTATTTAATAGGGCTGTCATTTCAACGGATACCTTATCTCACTGATACAGAAATCAAAGAATAAAACTCCTGTAAAATGTTTTCCGTCATGGGAATATTAATAATTTTTCCTTGTTTTGCGTTTGGGTTAACGCAAGAACATCTTAAACCATGTTGGATTTGGGCCATATGTGAAGCAGGTACATTATTTGCTTATACTTTACATTACGTTCAACCAAAAAAAAACTATTATTCCTTTGATGAAATTGTCAACACTTGAGAATTATCCCCAATCATACTTAAATGTGTTGCATTGAATGTTGTCTAAAAAAATATGAAATTACACAGCATTCTGAAAAAGATTCTGAATTTTAATCAGAAACTTAAAAATACCTAGAAAATCAAATCTCGTAATTTTTCCCACTCAAAAGTAAAAACGCTATTAACACCACAACGATTTTAATTTTTTTTAAATTGATAAAAATTGTGTGAAATTAAATAAATATTGGTTGAGAAAAGCATCATATAAATTTGAATAAAAATCAGTATTTATTTTGTTATCAAACTCAAAGAGTAAATTTTTAGCAAAGTAATTTTTTCTTCTTACTTTAATTTGACATTTTCATAAAGTGTGTTGTGATTTTTTCCCCTGATTTGACGTAAAATAATTAAATATTTTTATCTGTTTAAATTGGTTTTCAAGTGCAGATGTTGTTGTATCTTAGATTGCTTTATGTTTTTACTTTTGCGCAAGTTCAGGGTCTGATATCCGTGATTTAGAAAAAGGGTCTTTTCCCGATCTGAAATTATTTCCAGTTTTTGGAAATTTGTTCGTCATTATGAGTTTAAGTCAAGAATACAGTACAATTGTAGCATCATACTATGCAGTAAGAGGTCAATTCACCACAGTTATAAAGATGATTGCCAAAAGTGACAACCAAGTGCATGTTACTTGAAAAGATTTTGATTAACTTATTATTATTTTTAATTAATTAAAATTATTATTTTTTTTTGCCCTATCCTTTATTATAATGTTACAACTCTTTTTCTTGGGGCATCTAATTGAGGATTTTGCCTAGAACTCCCACACACCTCCTGCATGCCACTAAATAGACTATACTTTTATAATTTTTGATACAATTTTTCGAAAGTTGCGAAATTACGTAAAATTTTAAACGATCATCATGTGTAATGTGTTTACAAAGTAATTTATATACTCTCTTATGGGAAATATTTGTCGAATAAAAAAAACATTTTAAATTTTAAAAACTTTTTTATAGATGTTGAATTCCGAAAAGAATTACTCAGCTGCTATGTCCCTGCATTCACAGAAAAAGTAAGTTCCTTAATTATTTCATTCATTTAAATTTAGGCTTAAAGCAATTCAAATAAAAGACTCACAAGCAATATAATTCCGTTCGTTTAATCATCAATTTACCCTATAAATGACCAAATTCTCTCATTTTTTATGCTGTTCTGTTCATAAGTATTAAATGACATGAAATCAATATAAATATAATTTTTAATTTTGTTTAAAAAGGTTCAAAATATCCATGAAATGTATACAGAGTACAGAAGTTACAGTATTAATCAATCATTACAGAAGTTACAAATTTGAGATGGAAATAAGTATAGGGCTCATCATAATGTTTGCTACATTATGCATAGCAGCTCAAAGCCGTAAACTTCATCGTAAGCCACAAATCTCCCTCCCTATTATGAACTGCCTGCTGGTGCAAGTTTGAGCCAGTACTTTAACTTATCCAAATTAGCAAAATTTTGTGTTAAACTTGCGTTTTCTTGACAAGCTCGACGTGTCTGTCTCTAGAGCATTAAAGGAGGATACAGCATCCATCTTCAAGTCCATTTGCATATATTTTTGGACCATAAGATCAGTGTGCTTTAATGTGGACTGAGTTTGTCCCATTTAGATCAAACTTGATATTTTATTGGATATATTCACTTAAACTAGATGAAGTATTACAATTTCAGTTCTGAACAAATTTTTCTTGTTGGAATTGAATTAATATCTATAACCTAAGCAGAGATATACATTTAGGGTATTTTCGTCGCATTTATGGTAACCAGCCATTAGATGCGATAATCACGGTTCCTGAATGAGACAGTGCATTTTCACAACGTTTTCAGTTACTTGCATTTGTGTCTGTAACAGTAAAATCTTGCAATCAAATTTCGAAAACTCTCCAGCTAACGTGAGTGCTCTTTGAGTCCTAACTTGAGAGAAAACAATGCAAATTCAAATTGCTTCAGGATGAATGCATGCAGCATTTATCGTCAGTTTATCACAAAATTGAGTTTATCGTCAATCAAGATTACGATCATTTTAAATATGTCTGGAATACTTAAAATAGATCTGGAGCTCTTGTTTGGATGACTATTCAAGTTTCCCTTGTTTTTTGAATGCTGCATACAAAAAATATCACGATATTATCGTTTATAGGCATTTATTGAAAATCAAAACAATGACAACTTTAGAATTAGAACTTTATAACTCCGTGTTGAGTGCGAATAAAAATTTCGATCATTTTCTTATCGATAAAAACGAAATTTATTGTTATTTTATCACAAAATTGAGTTTGTCGTCTGTCAAAATTCGGAACATTTTATGATTAGCTAGAGTACTCTGCTCTGGGGGACTTTGAATGTTCCCTTTGATGTTTTGAGTGCTAAGCGCGGAATTTATCACTATATTATTGTCGATATGAATTAACCATCAACCACACATTCGACCACCATAGAATTATGACTTGAAAATGTTAACTGAAACTGTGTGTTGGATGATATTACAAGTTTTAATCGTTTTCTTATCGGGAAAAACAGAACTTTTTCGACATATTATCTGGAATTAAAATATATAGTCAAGTGAAATTCCGACCCATTTTTTAACTTTCTTATTCATGACTCTAACTTGAATTAAAATTGCAACTGCTCTTCTATGCTTGACAAAATGTAAGTTTCAAATCTAAAGTTGTCAACTTTCAACAAAAGTTCTATACCTGAAGATAATAAGAATTCATGTTTTTCCTATGTAAACGAAATGTATCGTCAAATGGAAGTTTTCGTCAATAACTGGACAATTCTAACAGCCTTCTGACTATTGCATTCCATTTTCAGTTGTTGCTCTGCTCATAGTGACAGTCCAACTAACAATTGTTTCTGAATGCCATGAGAAAAACTTATTTCCAATGAAAATTTCAACATTTTTCCAACTTAAATTTCAACTACATTTCTGGAACTGATATCAAAACAAGTTTTAATTTCGTTCTAAATAGTTTATAAGTACATTATAAGTACATTCTGATATCACAACTTATAATGGTGGACAGTAATTACAGAGAAACTGACGGGCAGCATTTCTCTGAAAATATGAATTGCTAAAAATGTGTTAGATATGTTTAATAACCTTGATATATAACTACGAATATGTTATCAATATACACTCACCGTGCTTTGTATTTATATTAAAAATTCACACTGAATATCTAAATCTAATAGAAAAATGTAAAGAACAGAGATTGACATTTAACACAAACAAACTGAGATTTCAATCATAATATTTCAGATATATAATAAACTTATTATGTTTAAAATGTGCAACTGGATGGCTTTAGCACTTAAACATAATTGTCATGCGAAAAATTAATTAAGTAAATACAAAGAACACAAATGTTACACTTTCAGGAAAACATTTTATTAACCGTAACCTCATCAAATTTATTTTCAGGACTTCAGTCAAGTTGCCCGAACAATTGTTACATATAAAATTCAATCTACAAATGCGACTGGTTTCTTTAAAGAATTTTGCGACTTAGGCCAAGAACTTCGGGTAAGTAGAATTATAAGCAAAATGTTAAAACATATATATATATATATATNATAGTATATATAGTCTTAAAAATAACGTGAAAAGAGAAATGAATGATGCTCGTTGACTGGCGGCATGACTTCAAACAAGCACGTACAAGTTCGTACTAGGGTGATCTAAACACCAGAGTTACACACCTAGTTAATAGAAAATTAGTAAGTTTTATATAGACGCATCATAGCATGCAAATTTCTGATTTTCACAGTATAAAGGATTGCAATTTGGAAAATCTAATCCCAACAACTTTCAAGAGATCGGTGATTATAATTTTATGTTTTGCTTATCTCGCTATAACTTAAAAATTTTTCACTGAATGGAATGCATCTCATTTGGTGCCATTGCTATATAAAGCTTCTTAATTCTCACTGGGACGGAGTGTACACCCATGGTACATCCTACTGAGTATCCGGAAATCTTTTTCTCGATTTATGCGGACAGCTAACAAACCTCTATTCCTGCACATCATATGCTGTTTCAATTTTGAGTACATCAGGTTATCAATTTCGACAACAACCATTTTGACGCATTTTTGGTTAATTTTGTGAAACTCTTTTTTTACACTGCAAAATATAAAATATTGCGATCGGGTGAATTACAGTGGAAGTGCAGCGGCTTATCGACCTACCAGGGTACAATGGCGCTTCCATTCATAGGTTAATTTGCCACCTTAAGAATATAACTTTCACTTCCTAAATATTTGCCATAACAATATTAAGAGACGGTGTACTTAAATAAGGAATTTAATGCAAAACAATCTAGTACTCAGTCAAAATTGTTCGGATTCTTAAGTAAGATTTAAAAGTTGATAGCAGCAATGAACTTATTTATTTATTTATTTTTTTCATTTTTAATTTCACTTGTTAAATATTCTCGAAAAAGTTATAGAATATAAAATTTAAGCAGGCCTCATTTTCAAAGATTTTATATCCGATTCTAATTTTCACGGGTTTTAAGAAAAATATTTATAATAATATAGTTTTTTTGCTCTTTTTGCTCTATATTTAAAAAATTTATGTATGCTCCTTTTATGCTATCTAGTCGTAACAACTAGTGAAGCATTTTTTGGCAAATATGAGTCAGCCAAGCTACTTTATTTTCTAAAATAATTAAATTGTGTAAACTGAACTTACCAGATTTTAAAAGTAAACGAAACAGATTCAAAAGTATCATTGTATTTCATTGATTTTATATTTGAATCATTTTAATATTCTAATCAAAGCAGCTAATTTTATATTATATTTTATAACCACCGTTGAGCAGCTGATCCTATTATGAGTTAACTATCAATGCTCAACTCCGTATCCTTGCAATTTCGAACCCAACACAGAAGACAAGACAACGTCTGGATCAAGCACTGGAAGAAACTAGCCTTCGTGAAGGACTTTTTGATGGAACAGTAGCATATAAATTCCGATCCTGGTGAGGTGCTAGTATCAAGTCAGTAGGGCGTAGGGCCGCCACGCGCCTGAATCTCAGCGTCTTTCCCCCACCACAGGTTCCGTATTTATTCCGCCAGGACGAGTCCACCTGCCGTTCAAGGGGTGTCCGGTCATTAATGGCTAGATAGTGTATATAAATGCCGATTCGTGAGCTGGAATTTGTACCAGGATTGGCATTTATATACTTCTTGGAACTAACAAACACTTTTGCTACATAAGGAGGAAAACTACCGAAACCCTTCACGGTTACCCAGACGTAAAGGAAACTCAATGCTAGTCCAGTTCGTCGAGTATATCGAATCCAGTTTGAGTCACTCTCTGAGGATTTGATAGCGCAAATCCACCGAATTACGAGGATGCATAATTTCGGCGTTTTATCCGTTGTTCCAACATGACCCGCAAATTTTCAATGGGGTACAAGTCAGGTGATTTTGAAGGCCATTCGAGATATAATTGAATGTCTGAGTGTTCACAAAACTAGTCACATTTTCTTCCAGTCCGATGTACTTTGCTGTTGTCATTTTAAAAAATAGGGGTATCGACAGCAAACTCTTCATGAAGATGTTGACTGAAAGGCAACACCTGATCATCCAGAATGTTCAAATAAACCTGTTGGCTCATGTTAGTGGGAACCTCAGTGAGGGGGCCCATTTCATAGTAAGAAAAACACCCCCAAAACATGACACACCCACCTCCGACTTTAACCTGACCTTGCATACAGTCAGTATAAAATGTTTCATCTGGTCGTCGGTGCATTCGACGACGTGCGCCATTTGAATAAAAGCAAAAACATGATTTTTCAGATCATATTACATTCCGCCTGTCCACGTTTGGTGATTTCTAGCCCTTTGAAGTCGCACAGCGTCATGTGCCTGTGTGAGGAATGGGAATGGCCTCTTACGAGATGTTCGACTCTAAATGTTCATTGCAGCACCCGTCGCAGTGTTCTCTCACTAAGGGTTGGAATGAGCCTTTATTTGAAGTGAACTGGAGCAATTTCTGTCGGTTTTGGATACGATTTTGATTGACAAATCGTGAAACACGTCTTCGGTCCCTTTCATGCAGGATCTTTTTCCGACCACAATTCTGACGTCGTCTTTCGTGACCACGTGTATTACACCACTGCTTGTAGACACGTTAAAAAGTCCGCATTGAAACACCAGCAAATTCAGCAACTTCATTTACCGTATGAACTTGGGCACGGCTAAACACAATTGCTCCTTTTTGCCACACTCACTGTCACATCCTTACACTTACCAATATTTACACAAGATTTCTGCTTAAAACAAAAATATCTCACTGATGGCTTCTTACCTTTGATCACACTGATTCAGTGCGCATGCAGTTCAGCACGTCACTTGGCCACTGAGTCATCTAACGAAACCTACCGATTAGTCGGTGTTTGATCACTAGGGGGACTAATTTTTTGTCAGGTGAGCTTACTGTGACAATGCAGTGGTACAAGGACGAGATACTTGCAGCCTATGTGAGACTTTTCCATGGGGCATATGAATCAAATTTCATATTTATGGATTATAACGCCCATAAACAGAAGGCTGAGTTAGCGGACGAATACCTCCAATCGGAGAATGCTCAACTATTAGAGTCCCCTGTAATCTCTCCTGACCTTAATCACATCAAACACTTATGGGACACCCTTGGACGCTCAATTGCAGTTCGAAGACCATCTCCAACAACCATAGATGAGTTCGAGGGTGCTTGATGCAATAGTGAATGATGTTGCAGCAAGGATTGATAAAAACTCTGTTAAACATTACGAAACGCAGATGCGAAAGTTATGTAGCTGTTGAAGATGATTGTACATCCTATTAGACATGTTTTTCTCTGACCGAAAGGGTGTTGGTCAGTTTTTGGGGTAGACAAGTGACCAGTTTTCCTTTTTAGGGTGCAAGTTGTGCCCCTTTTCGTTTTCCCATATATTAGTCTAATATATGATGATAACTGACGAAGTTTGAATTTATTTGCTTTGGTAATTTTTTTTATTGCAAAAAAACAATTGACCCTTTACTTGTTCTCACCAGTGTATGCACATTAAAAGAAAAAAATGAACAAAGTTTATGCGTCTTGCAAATTGATTCTGATTTTTGGGCACGTGGACATATAGATCTCATCATATTAAGGATTTTCTGGAATGTGAAATTATTCAACGTACAGATATGCCATTCGGATCACTGTACCTAAATCTGATAGCAAACGTTTGGGACTTCCCTTGACAGACAAGCTGCTGCCATGAGTCCTATTACACTGTCCTTACTGTTATAGCTGAAACAAGAGTTAAATCATGTTGATCTTGAAAAAGCACATCTAGGAAAGTCCGAGTAGGAAATTCTAAAGCCTAGAAGCTAAAAGAGAGTATGCATTCCTTTCTGGAACGTATTTTTTAAATATATTGTAGACAATTTTTCCTATAAAATTGTGAAATATTATTTTTATGTGAAACAACACATCTGCCAAGTTTTTGATTTAGTTTTAAATTATGGTTGTGTAGGTTGTTTCTACTATTACAGAGCAGTTGTTAATGCTCAACACATATTTGTTGTTACATATTATAAGCTATTTGATCCGAAGTTAATATGTTTTGCTTTTGTACACGATTTAACATTGTTTAGCATATCATGATGAAAAGATTTTTATTTTTAGGAAACTGTTTCAATTGAATGTGTAAGAAGTACACTCGATTATTATGCAGTAAGGCATACATTTTTACTTTTTCCCTCTAACATAATAATCAGTTAATAATCTGTTTAATCAACTTGATGTACTCTACTTGATGAATAAATGTTAAAAAGTTAATAGTTAAATAATGAAAAGTTAATAGTTAAATATTCTAACTATAAAATTTTCCGAGATGCTATGGTTTAGCACAATTTTGAATAGATTAAAATAATAGTGAAATGTATGGGTTCATTAAATGAATATTTTAAACATATTCTGAAAAGTATTTTAAACATATTAAGTATTATAAAAAGTATGAAGGTCGAAAAATTATCTAAACCATGAAAAATGTAGGAAGTAATATCGTATATAACTTTATATAATTTATATAAAGTTAACTTAGTTTTACTTTATGTAAATTATATATAAAGTAATTATATATAAAGTATAAATTATATAAAAAGTATAGCAACTTAAAGTTTATGTTCAATTCTAAAGTACTCGTGCTATTTTTTAACAGTTTTTAAAAACATTAAGTAGTGTTGCCACGAAGCTAAAACAATAACATATAAAAATGTAAAATTCTAATTAGAAAACTTTTTATGCAATTTAAATATAATTATGGATTACCTTCTGAAAACTTAAACTCGATACATTTAAGTATTTATTTCTAAACAATGAACATAATAAAATAATTATATAGGTAATGCTCTTAATAAAAATTTTAAAATCTTTATTTAAAATTATCCAAACACATTCATTAAAAGCGATGAAAGCGGTTTCAAAAGGAGTAAATTCAGGTAGAAAAAATTTTGCAAACGCTTATGAGTTTCAAGACTATTCAAAGATTTTATAATTAAGTATTAAAATCCATGATTTCGAAACTTTCTATGCAGTATTTAATGAAAGTAGAATCAGGTAAATAAAATTATACAAACACCTATAAATTTTAAATTTGTATTAGGGGGACCTGAAACGAAATTTAACATCAAGACGAAATTTAAACATCAAGAATGATAAAGCGAAAATGCCAAATGAACATCTTATGTAAATGTTAGGAATTAACAGATTTCCCCAATTGGAAGCTTCTGCACAAAATAAAAAGGCAAGGAGTGGTCCTCTTTTCTTACTGTCGATGTAAAACAAACTGAAAAGTTTTTTTTCTTTTTTTTATAACCAACAGCTGACTGATTTTTAGTTTAAGGCTACCAATATTCAACTCCATAACCTTCTAATTTTGAACCCAATCCAGAGGACAAGGGAACTCCTGGATCGAGTATTGGGAGTAATTTGCCTTCGTGGAGGACTTTTTGATGGAGCTAACCCGCATTTGCGTTACATGGAGAGGAAGACCATGAGAATCTCCCGCGGTTAGCCTGACGGCAAGGGGACTCTAACCCATGATCCGTCTACCACTGAGGATATTTCACGTCAGCACTGTGGGCGGTGCAAGCCGGATGCGGAATTCGTATCGACTGGGATTCGAGCCAGGTTCGCCGCATTGGAAGGCGAGGGCTCTGTCCCCTAAGCCATCGCCGCTCCAAATAAAATAATAAAAAATATATATATACTTTTTTTATTATTACTATATTTACTTTTTTTATTGGAGGACTTTTAATTATATCTTTTCGTTAAGTGCAAACTTATTTATCCATGCACTCAAAAATATCAGTTTATTTTTCCCTAACTACATTAAGATTTACTTCAAGATCTCGATGTTAGCAAACTACGATTTTTTAAGCAATTTTTCTTCCATAGCATGCTACAAAATATAATGTCAAATATTTGATGCATTTTAAACTATTTAGCATAACTTCTTTTTAATATCATTCCCTCAACAGCCTGTTCTTATTTAATTTTTTATTTCTTTTATTTAGGTAACCTGTGCTAACCCTTTGCAAGCTGACTGTGATCGCTTAAATAAAATAATAGTAATATTTTTTCAGTTTTTGTCTTTTTAAAAGGGATTTTGATTTTCTGTCATAAAGTGATGTGTATTTAAAGGGTGGTATTTTTTAGGCTAAAGTGGAATATATCAATTTATGAGTTTCTACAATATATCGGGAATAATGTATAATTACAATCATTCTATTAAAAAATAGAACTATTTTCTTCAAATATTTTGAAGTGACAGTCAATGTTCAGACAGTGTACGTCTAAAGAACAAACTATAATCTTCAAAGTGTTGTAAATTCTATAGTTGAATGCTGAAAATTAGTTCTATAGCCTACAACTTACAGACAAATATTTAACGCAAAAACAAACAAAAATTCTCATAAAGGCTTTAGTATGAGAAAAATATTTTTTTTTAATCCCGAGTAAGTAAATGTTCGTTAAGATTCCAATTAAAGATTCACGAAAAATTAAGAAAAATACAAAATAAAGTATAAAAAGGTAGATATAAAGCGAAAAAGGAAAATGAATGATAATATTTTGAAAATGATTTAAAAATATTTTCATAGCTTAGTTGCAAGATTATAAAATATGAAATTGAATCGTAAAATAGAGAGTAGTAGGATATATTTTTAAAGCGCGCACACAATGAAGTTAAGAATCGTGTTTAATTTGTAAAAATAACAAAAGTATACCAGACTTTTTAAAATGATTTGTCTATTATAATAATTATAATTAAAATGAAAGGTTTTTAAATTTCATTCGAAACCAGAAAGTTTTGCCTTGTTATAAAGCGTGTTGCAACAAAAGATATTAGACTTGCCCCAATGTTTATCAAAAACTTAAATTTCAAAATAACGATAGTTATAAGTCTTTTTGTAAACTTCATAGAAGTGAAATATAATAGAGCGTGCACATCACGATAATTTTTACTCTCATAATGACTGTAAGGCGAATCGAGAGAAAGTATTTTGAACTTTCCGTTTCCCTTTGTTATTTTAATGGAAGAGACTGAATGCTATAATTGTAAGGCCAAACGTTTTAAAAAAAGATTTATTTTTTTACCGCATTTAGTTGCACGGAATTGTTTTTATTTTTTAAAAAAGGACTTCATACTCTTCTCAGTAAGTTAGCACTATATATATATATATATATATATATTAGCT